AACTGGCGGTCAGTTTCAGCAGCGGCTGAATCTGGACGCCAGTTCCGACTTACATACAGATTCAACTTAAGAACAAACCTACAGTCCCTATCTTGTACGTAACCCGGGGACTGCCTGTAAATGGTTGCTGCTGCATGCCCAGTAATTCTGAAAATTGCCCGCTTATTTGGTGGTACATAACAGAATACAGAATTAGGAGACTAACTTGGTCAGTTTCAGCAGCGGCTGAATCTGGACGCCAGTTCCGACTTACATACAGATTCAACTTAAGAACAAACCTACAGTCCCTATCTTGTACGTAACCCGGGGACTGCCTGTAAATGGTTGCTGCTGCATGCCCAGTAATTCTGAAAATTGCCCGCTTATTTGGTGGTACATAACAGAATACAGAATTAGGAGACTAACTTTTTAAATATCTATTTTTGGACTTCCTAGTCTTAATATTCCAGTTCACTTTGTGGGCACATTTCTGAAGTCAGCTTAGATACATAATAAAGGCCTATGGGCTCATGATGACTTGGCAGACTTTTTAGGAATTGTATAAAATCTTGTGAATACTGACAGAATTCTCTGCTGTAACAGAAATGTTTAGTCCAGATTTATTAGCTTCTGTGTCTGTACTGCAAATAGATATACCAGCAGTGCTTCAATTTGTTTGCCTTTTTATCTTACAGAGGAAAGATTGTACTGGGATACACTGAAACAGAGCTGCGTATGAGAGGAACAGGATATCAGTTTATTCATGCAGCTGACATGCTTTATTGTGCTGAAAATCATGTCCGAAGTAAGTGTAATTTGCCTTCTGTGAGACGGGTTGCTAAAATAAAGCAAAGAATACGTTTGCACTAAAGAATGTTATGAAATACTACCAACATTAATCTACTCGTTAACAAAATAAACACTCTTCTTTGTATACGCACTTCTGCAGTATATAAGAGTTTATATGGCAAATGGAAATATTTAATATTCATATTTGGACTCATTATTTTATTTAATTTTCCCACTTCTTATGTCCAGCTGTTCATAATTCCTGTTCCCCACAGATAAACTGCTGCTATTTCACCAACTCTCTTAGGCAGATGGACTACTTTTAAGATCGTTTCCTGTAATAGGCTAAATTGAGAGCTTTCTGTTATCTACAGGCATTTTCTCTCTTACTCAGAGAGAATGTGTAATAATTCATGATATCCCCTTAGACATCTGTAGTAAATCACCTAAACCCTGTTCATCGATCATTTGTATTGCGAACTGGTTTGCTATCTCCCACTCTTTATCCCAGAAAGGTGACTGGGACTGGAAATGGTGGTGGTGAAGGGAAAATTATCTAAAACATTGCAGAATCTCAAAATATTTGGTATTTAAAATGGGAGAGGTCAAAGGAAAAGGTGGAGCTATGTGTATTAAATGCATCCTTATAAAATAGATTTTTAGGGGCTCTTTCAAACTTTTACTTTTTTATTTTGCAGTTTGGTACGTGTCTAGGAATGCATGTGTTTCACTAGTGTGTGTACCGTAAGAGTGATGGTTGGATTGCAAGACGAAGCAGTGAAAAGAATATGTATTTGAAATACTCATTGTTTCACCCCAGGGATTGGCAACCTTTCAGAAGTGGCATGCCAAGATTAATTTATTCACTTCTATTTACAGATCTGCATGCCGGGGGAGGCGGGGCAGGGACAGACTGAGTACGGTGACCATATTTTCTGAACCAGCTGCACTTAGGGAGAATGTTTAATTTAAATTATTAAATAGATTAAGTGTTTTAACGTTCTCCTGTTATTTAAAAAGTTTGATAAACTAAAGTAAAATATTAATTTATGTCCAACACAAAAGATTTCAATGTTTTCTTTCTTTATGGCAGCGGTGGGATCCTTTTTTGGGTTGGTGCCACTGGCCCACAGAAAAATCAGTTGGGGACCACACAAGTGAGAAGCAAAAGAATGCCTCCAAAAAACCACAACCCTCACTGATGGGGGGCCCCCAACTGAGACACCTCACTTCTCTGGTGCTCCAGCCTCACAGGATGAGGGGAAGGGACAGGGAGGACTGAGGTTCAAGGTTTCCCATAGGCTAGATTTACTTTTCTGAGGTTCCAGAGTTAGTGGATTTCGTGGACCCCCTTATGCTCTGGGGTAGGAGGTCAGTGTGCGAGACAGAGCTGCCAGCGAGTGGGGTAGGGATGGGGTGCAGGATCTGGGAGGGAGGCGGGGTGCAGAAAAGGGAGAGGTTACAAGGTCTGAGTGGGAGGTACGGTGCAGGAGCAGGTTGGGAGTAGGGTGTCTGGCCAGGTGGAAGGAGCAGGAGCAAAGAGGGTGCAGTTTGTAACCAGGAAGGACAGTGCAGGAGAGCAGGATTGGGGGTAGGGTGTCTGGCAGCGAGGGAGGATGCAAAAGCAAGGGAGGGTGTTGGAGCAAGCTGGCGGTGTGGGATCTTGGCAGAGAGAGGGGAGTGAGTAAGAGCGATTGGGCTGTGAAGGTCTGGGCATGAGGGGGGACACTTCAGCTGACTTCATGTCCCCTTGCAGTGTGGAAAGCCTTACAAGTCACTGTGTAGGCATTCCCCCAGCAGGGTGAGAAGGGGGAGGGAGCTCAGCCCCTCCCCCCCAGATGCAGTGGGAAGCCTGGGGCGGGACGGGATGGGACACAATGCACAGTGGTGGGGCAGATGCAGGGGGAAGGGGGAGGGCTCTCCAGGACTCGAAAAATGCTTTGGACTCTGGAAACTGTGTGCCACCAGAAGCCACCAGAAGCCACCCTGGCTGCCCGCCATCAAAGCACCCAGAGCACCTATGTTCTTGGGGGGGCGGGAGGCCACTGCTGTTGTGCCACGCTATCATGAGCCTGATCCAGTCAGGGGAATGGAAATGGCAATGCACAGAGCCAGGAGGTCTAGCGTTCCCTGCATGCTGGATCGGGTGGGGAGGCTCACATGCCAGTGAAATCGTACGCCACTTAGGGCATGCCTGCTGTAGGTTGCCAACCCCCTTTTCATCGTATTAGAAACGTAAAGCAACTAAATAGTACCCAGCCTAGGTTCAAACAAATGCCTTGCCTTGTGTGTGGTATTTATTTTTCATTTTATTTTGTGTTTGCGGTTGCCTGTCTGCTGGAACATTCAAATTAGGGTTTTGTCATTTATGTGCCATTGTATTTAGTAGTCTCTGCTATAAAGGAACTAATGGCCCACAGTGCCTTTTGGGGGGTGGGGGTGTACTGAATTGTTGCAATGCCTGGATAACTCACAGTGGAATGTCGCATTGGCATTCAAGCCTCTACTTACTACCCAGGCAAATTGGACTTGATTGTGTAAGGCAGGGCTTCTCAAATTTCATTGCATCTTGATCACCTGCTGACAACAGAAACTCCCAGGGAGGAGGAGACATTCATTTTGTTTTTTATTATTTTACTAGCAGGGTCCAAATGGGTTTGGTTATTGCAGGTCAATAAGTTTATTGTGAACATAATTCTGTATATGAAAATATATCAGTAAGTGCTTCCCTTTATACTACTAGTTAATTTAAGTCTTAAATGGCTTTTCAAGTGAAATTATTTTATCACATACCAAGTTTTCTTCTTTATTTTTTAAATAGAAAAAGATTAAGCAGTATGTGATTCTGCTTTTTAATTCTAGTGATAAAGACTGGAGAGAGTGGCATGACTGTGTTTAGACTTCTTACCAAAGAAAATCGCTGGGCCTGGCTTCAAGCAAATGCACGCCTGATCTACAAAAATGGAAGACCTGATTTTATCATTGCAACACAGAGACCTCTTACGTAAGTCGTTGTTACAGATGACAGCTTAGCTTGAACCCCCAGTCCACCATCTGATTTACTGATTTTATTTGAGATGCAGGGAGTTGGGTTATTTGTTTTTGTTTTGGAATGTTCTCTACCTGCTGCAGAGAGAGCTTTCCTTTTTCTAAAGAGTTAAAATTGCCAGTCTTACAATAATTCCCTCTGTAAATCCCTCTCTTAATATACAAAATGTGCCTTACACTGTATATGGCAGATGCCCCTGTGTTCCTCTCAGAAAGTAAATTTAAAGGTGCAAGACCTTTCCATCCATCCCACTACTTTTCTCTTTTTTTCTCTGAAGAAATCCTATTGCAGCTGCAGAGACTTTATCATTTATATTACTCATAGGAATTAACTTCAATAGAGGACATACTGAATTACATTCCACTTTTTATTTAGCATTGTCTGTATAAACCCAACACTTACTTGACGCTACAAAATGAAAAATACCAAGAGAATTCAGTGCTGATAGATCCCTGCTCCCTACAATTCAAGAACAGTAGAATATGAAGTATGCCATTTAGATTTAGTGAATTGCACACATAACATTGATTAACATATGTGGAGGTATTAAATAAACAAACTCCTTATCTGTTGCTTACTTTTCCCACTAGAATTAAGTTTTAATAGCCAGATTCTCAGTGACTGGCACTTTTTAAGTACCTACAAATAGAATAGTTCACTTCTTTAAGGCTTCAGTTCCAGGAAACAAATAGTACTATACTATTTTTTTGAATTACTATAATACAGTAATAAAGTACTGGGTTGTTTTGTTTTGTTTTTGTTTTTTTGTCAATTCCAGAGATGAAGAAGGGTCAGAGCATTTACGAAAGCGAAACATGTCGGTGCCTTTTATGTTTGCGACTGGTGAGGCTGTGTTGTATGAGGCAGCCTTCCCTTTGCCTGGCCTAATGAATCCCTCACAGCTGAAGGTTGAAAGTGTTGCCGTGAAAGGATCTGCTCCCAAAGCTACACTACAGAAAGAATCTGTTCATCCAAACTCAATTCTGGGTGTCATGTTAAGTCAAGATGAGTCTGTATATCTCTGCCCTCCCGCTTCACAAAAACTTTCCTTTGACAGAAACTTCTTTACAGACACCAGTGATGAACTGGGCAATGTTATTGCCAGTGACTGGCAGGATAATCTCTTACCAACTGGAAATAACATTCTGAAACACGAGCAAACCGACTGTCCCCAGGACAGTAACGTAATGCTTACTGAAGACAATGCAGGGCTCTTTCAAGATAACAAAAACAGTGACTTGTACAACTTCATGAGAAATCTGGGTATTGACTTAAGAGTTTTTTAAAACTGAATTTTCTTGTGTGGATGATATTGGAGACATCGACATAACTGATGAAATCCTGACCTATGTTCAGGATTCCCTAAATAATAAGCCTGACTTCTTGTATTCAGCTTGTCATCGGCAACAGTCAATAGTTCAGGACTCTAGCTGTTTGGTACAGCAACATTTGGGTCAGCAGCAACTTAATCAGCACCAAAAACAAGTGGTTGAGCAGCATCAGCAGCAGTTATGTCAGAAGATGAAGCATATGCAAGTCAATGGGATGTTCACAAATTGGAACCCTAGTAGTAGTGTGTCTTTTAGCTGTTCACAGCAAAAGCCAGTGCAATATGTTTTTTCTGATATGCCTGGCACTACTCAAGAGCTCCCTTACAAATCAGAAGTCAACCCTGTACCTTATGCATGTAGACAAGAGTTTATTCCTTACAAACAGCCCACAAGGCTGGAGCCACAGCTTTCTAATTTTACCCAAATAGATTTCCCCATAGGACATTTTGACAGATCAACCTATCCTGGTTCTTCAAGGTTGGAGGATTTTCTCAGTTCACAACAAGAGAATCAAGTGTGTGGAATCAATTCTCAGTCAGTTATGATAACTCCTCAAACATGCTATGCAGGGGCTGTTTCTATGTATCAATGTGTTCCAGAAACGCAACCGAACTCTATGGATCAAATGCAATATAATTCTATGATGGAGGGTCAACAACTGTTGTTAAATAAGGTATGATAAAGGTCATTGTTAATTTTTCTTGCATGTTGTAATAGTTTTCAGAAGGAAACTAGATGGCTTATGGGATACAGAACCTATGATCAATGAAGCTACAATGAATGAGAGGTTCTGTCATTTCTGTTCATTAACCTGAAATGAGGCATGCTCAGTCTAGGTTCTAGGGAATGTGCCCATATCACAGGAACCTCTACAGTCGCATCTCTGTCAAACTTATACACACATACTACTTGCAAATATCCACCCACTCAAACCTAGAATAAATTGCTAACAGTACAATTGTCTGGTACATTTCATGGTCAATTCAATTCATTTTAACTATACATAGGTCTATTGTGCTTTACAATAAGAAAGAAACTTTCATTGTTTGGACTCTTAAAATACAAAGTTTATGTTAAATCAACATAATCTTGCTGATTAATGTATTTTAAAGATCACGTAAAAAGACAAATTATATTTTTTACCTAACTTGCTTGGAATCGTGAACCCATCCTACACCTGTGCAGGTATTGTGATAGAGGTTTCAAACTATGTAGTAAAACATAATGATACGAGAAACTGTCCTGCTCATATTGTACTTGTAAGATACGACATTTTTAAGAACTAAGACTTATAAATGTTATACATCTACTTTTGTAAAAAATTCAAGTATTTCTTTTACAACATTTAGAACAATGTTTAGAATATGAGATAAATTAACACAAAAATGAAAATTAAATATTAGGCTTGATTAATGGGACTAATTACACTAGTGCAGGAAGTTTACAGTAGAGTGTGGACATAAATTATTGCAAGGAATACACCTATTCCTAAAAACACAATTTTATTTTCTTTAGGGGTATACAGTTTTCAGTTTAAAAAAAAAAAAAAAAAAACTTCAAAAAGAGAAAACGATTAAAGGAGGCAAAGGCTATTCAGAAGCTCACTTTAATTCTACAAAAAAGTTTGAGTTTTATGGCACATATGAATTCTGATTTTAAACTGGGAGTTAGTGCACTAATTACATTTCTTCTCAGTCAAAGGGAAATACAGTGAAACCTTTATCTGGCACTCTGTTAACCAGAAAACTTTGTTATCCGGCATTGCTCCTGGCCACGATACTGTCACATCTTCAGCAGCACAGTTCTGGTTTGGTTTACCATAATTGGCTTAACAATTTTTTATTTAACAAGTGCTAATCATCTTTAACGCAAAATAGAAATGGAGAGACCAGCTGCCTCACACTACAAAACTACCAATATTAAAAACGTGAATTTTACTATTATTGTACATTGTTTTTTCCTAGATTGATGGGACCCTCAGATAACTGGAATTTTTAGATAACCGGAATGCACTAATCCCCGAGCATGCCAGATAACACAGGTTTTACTGTAATATGGAGCAGACAAAGATGAAAACACAATTATTTCCTGTTCCTCAAGTTATTAATTTAAATAATCAGGTCTTCTCTACCTTTCTGTTTTGTGTTATATGCATTAGAAAGGAAGCATTGTCTGAACATTGAAAATGATAGTCGTATCCATATTTATTTTTGTCAGAGTGCAAAACAAAATAATGTAACACAGTAAATTAGTGTAACCAGTCTGAAGATTACTCTTTTAGCAACATTTTTAATGGCTAGAATTGAGTATATTGATAGTTTTGGGAGAAAAAGTTCTAATTCCAAGACAGCTTCTATTGCATTCAAAGAATTATCTGCATTGCAGTGCATTTAAATTGTATTATTGATTTCTGTCATAATAATGATTGGGGTCCCGTCGTGCTAGACATGTAGTACAAGGCATGATTCTTTTTTCCAAGAGTTTACATTCTAAGGCCATGATCCTACACAGATGCTTGTGACCCATGTTCACAGATGCTTGTGAAAATGCATAACCAATACACTTAGCTGTTCTAAATATTCCCAATTTTTGTAACTTCATTTTAAAAATATTTCTCTTACCACTCCTTAGCAAAGATGCCATACCAGAATACTGAACTGTATTGCCACAGTACTAACAGAATGCACTGTCATACTTAATAGGATATTATAAATAGTAAACATAGTTGTCAGTCCATGAAAATGGTTAAACTGCTAGAATGTTGTGTGTGTTGATTTTTTTTGTAGTAATAGTGTTACTGTATCAGAGGAAAACGAGCAGCCTAGGTTAAAAGATGGTAGAAATGTAGCCGTGTTAGTCTGGTGCAGCTGAAACAAAAAACAGGACTGTGTAGCACTTTAAAGACTAACAAGATGGTTTAATAGGTGATGAGCTTTCGTGGGCCAGACCCACTTCCTCAGATCAAACAGTGGAAGAAAACTGTCACAACCATATATACCAAAGGATACAATACAAAAAAATGAACACATATGAAAAGTACAAATCAAATTTCAGAACAGAAGAGGTGGGGAAGGGGGAGAAGGTAAAGGTCTGTGAGCTAATGATATTAGAGGTGATAATTGGGGAAGCTATCTTTGTAATGGGTAAGGTAATTATCTTACCCATTACAAAGATAGCTTCCCCAATTATCACCTCTAATATCATTAGCTCACAGACCTTTACCTTCTCCCCCTTCCCCACCTCTTCTGTTCTGAAATTTGATTTGTACTTTTCATATGTGTTCATTTTTTTGTATTGTATCCTTTGGTATATATGGTTGTGACAGTTTTCTTCCACTGTTTGATCTGAGGAAGTGGGTCTGGCCCACGAAAGCTTTAAAAGATGTTTGTGTGGTGGCTATATTGACTGTTACTGTCAGAAAAATGAATTATTGCAAATGTGTGAGAGAGAAATGGGGGTAAACTTGCAGTAGTAATCACATAAAATAATTTCCAAAACAAAGCCATGACTTCAAATACTGTATGTGAATTTGAGATATGCTTATTGTAGGTAGGGAGAAGTTATTAATGGTTACAGTAATTAAACAAGTAAGAAAAAGTGTGTGGACAAACATGTTCTATCTGTTATCCTTTTTATTATCCTTCCATCCCTAGTTAGTTTCTATATGACAAGATTTATAGCTAAGGTCCAGAAGGGACTGCTGTGAATGTTTACACTACAATAAAAACCTGCATGGCACATCTGTTTTTGGCCCAGGTCACTTAACTTAAACTTGCAGGGCTCACCTGCAGGGCTATAAAATTGCAATAGGGAGCATCTCAGAGCCAGGGTCCCAGCCTGAGCCTAAATGTTTACATTGCAGTTTTGAGCCTTGTGAGCACGAATCAGATATCCTGGAGTCTGAGACTCAGTGCCATGGGTTTATTATCTCAGGGTAGGTATACTCTGAGCATATGTAGTCTGATCTCCTGCATAACCCAGGTCATATGACTTCTCTCAATTAATTTCTGTTTTAATTAGAGTATGTCTTGTTGACGATGTCTAAACTTCCACAGTAAGTCGACCTAAGTTATGCAGCTCCAGCTGTGTGAATAATATAGTTGAAGTTGATATAGTTTAGGCCGACTTATGTTGTCAACACCACATTGGATGAATGAAAGATATTCTTCCGTTGACTTACTTTTCTTGTTTGGGGCGGAGTACTAGGGCCTACTGAACAGAGATCTGTAGTTGATTTGGCAGGTCTTCACTAGACCCACTAATTGACCACGGGTGCCTCAATTGCCAGATCATCGATCAGCTGAAGTATAGACAAAGTCTTAGAAAAACCTTCAAAACTGATTTTAAATTTTCCAGTGATTAAGAATTCACAACCCTTGCAAAGTTCTTCCAATGGTTCAGTGTCTCTTCAACAAACAAAGACTACTCATACTTACCAGTTACTAGTATATGCTTAGCAAAACCTGCCAGACAACGCACATATTAATAAGTGATCTCACCATAAAATGAATTTAATGAAGAACATTAGAAGAATCTTGCACTGGTAGGGGATAGCTAGTGACTTGGTAGCTATTCTCTATCTCTAACTTAGGATTCTTTCAACATTTCTAAAGATAATTGATGCATCTATCTCAAAAGGATTTGTCACCTTCCGATAGAAAAGCAAGGTAAATCCACAGCAACCTCCTGGAATTATTAGAAACTCAGAGCAAAAATTGCACTTGTATGGCTTGTAGTATTAAGTTTGTGCTATTCTAAGCCAGGTCTTAACCTATCTGAATGCATCTAATATCCGTTAAATCGGGGCTACTTTATGTAGAGTAGTTTGCTCTATTTATCACTAATATATGGAATATTTGGGCATATAATGATTTTTGTAAAATGATGGAAGCATTACATCAATTGATTAAAATAATCCTGGAGAGGAGGGTGATGATATACTGCATTTCAACAATTCTATTCAAGAGCATTGTTGAAATGCAGTATGTCAAGACTGATTAAAAAATACCATTTAGAACAGTCACTTCATTGTGTTAGATATGGTGCTGGTGATCATTTTTCCAAATTATAAACGAACTGAATACGCACTCATGGAAAAACCATAAAAGTTATCCCTCACCAAACACTCTCAAAACATTTCCTTAGGTGGATTTTGAAATTGTAAAATTGTTGGTGAGGAAATCATGGGTGTTGAGGTGGATGATGGTTTCCACAAGTGAAAAGGAAAATCACAGTAAAAATCTGACTTGTACAATCTTTTAAGTCATAAGTGCTTGATCATTCTGTTTTTGGAATCAGTGTCAAAATTCTCATTAGTTTCAACAAAAGTAAGATTGTGCCCATGTTCTTTGTTTGTCTTAACTTTGTTTATTTTAACATAGGATAAGGGACCCTCTGAAGGAAGGGAGGTGATGGTGGGTTCTTGAGTGCACTAGGGGATACAGCGCTTGTGTGTGGAGCACAGGATTGGGAACTCGAGTCCCGCCCACCTTGGGAACAGCCAGACAGCCAACACAGATTGGACCTCTCTGGTTCAGCACCCTTGGGAACTGAGTGGTCCTGAAGGAGGGAATTTGCTGGACCAGCGGAGGTTAAACCTCCGGCTCTTCCAGGGCTCCCCTCCTGGTCACTGGCCTGGCCAGTGCGCTGCCCCCAGCTGTTGGCAGGCCTCTAGTTCCAGCTGCCGCCCTGCTCCAGTCCATGAGGGTTCTTTCCCCTGACAAGTGGGGCTCTGTTCCTCCAGCCACGGGCTCTCCCTACCCCTGGCCAGCAGCTACTTTGATCTCCCAGGCAGCATGGGCTCCATGTCTCCGGCTGCAGGGGCCTCCCTGCCCCCAGCCGAAAGTAGATCCATGCCCTCATTTAGCAGGGGCTTTGCGTCCCCCGCCTATGGCAGCTCCGTGTTCCCAGCTGGCAGGGGTCCCTGCCCCCAGCCAAAGGAGCCATGCTCTTGGCTGGCAGGGTTCCCCACCCAGCCCTGCTCTGGCTGTCGGCCACTGACAAGGCTCCAGGACATTGGTCCTCCAAGCTGCCTGTCTGGCTGAGCTCCCAGCTGTTTACAACATTTGTGGCTGGGGCTTTCTGGTCCAGTGACATCTGTGGTCTGGGCAGGACCATGGATGTTACCGGACCTAAGAATCCTGAACCACAAAGATTCAACCTGTAGTTCAATTTGAAGTTGACCACAGAAGTCAGGATTTACCTGTCTGGCCTATTATACAACATGTGCAGTGTTAGTAAATATTCACTATTATCAAAAAGTTACAAGTTTCAAAGCTTATTTATTTTTAAAAAATGCCAGTAGACTTGAAGTGCAGAACCAAAACACCATTTATTTTTATATATAGCAATTCTTATTAATATTTTGCAGAAAAAAATGTCCCCCGGAACATTGGAGGAAATAGGGAAAATAAACTTTTAACATCTTAAATATCAATTATATATCAAATTAAATACTTAAAGAGTTCTTAATGGCATAAGATTGTACTGAACAACTATTCCTAAGGTAATGCTGTGCCAAAAAAACTCTACAACCAATATTTTACATTTTTGCAAATTTGTTAAAATAATGTAATGTCACTCTGGTTTCAGTTATTTTGGTAATTTATTTAAACTATGGTAAAATAGGTGGAGAAGGAGGTTGGGGAGCATTAGAGGAACAGCGCATTGTCTAATAGTAATGAAGCTAAAATTCTTTATTTTTAGTTATTAGACAACATATGCAGCTATATGCTTAGTGTTACATCATAGGCAAATGAAGTGAGGGCTAGGGCCTCATACTCACAGTTTTTATTTGCTACTGACCATCTCCAGAAATGTCAGTAGCAATCTGTTGATGGTTCACATTTTGATAGGAATTTTTTTCCATCCAAAAATTTAGACTTGTTTAATTACTGAAAGCACTGGAAGCATGTAAGAGGTCATACGGTCTCTTACAATCAGGCTCCCTTACACCACTCTGGCAATGTAAAGGACCTTTTTTAACATCCTGGGAGAAATTCACTAGAAAGAATGGGAGCAATTTACTGTACTAAGCAAGCAGCCTGCTACATTCTACTCTGCTTGAGAGGACAGAACCTGCCCCATATCTACCTTCTCAGAAACACCCCAAAGCCTTGCCTCTCCATACCAAGCAAGTTACACGCACAGAGTTCCCCTCTCACACATAGCAGTGATCCACATCTCTATCGGCACCTCCAGGCACCAAACCAACCTGCCTGCATTGCTGGGCAGGGCTGTGTGACCACTCTTGTGGTTTCCCTGTACTTCCCTGTCAGAAGTCATTTTTCTGCAGGGAAGCAAAGAAATCTGCTGGGGCCATGAATTCTGTGCATGTTTGGTGATGTAGAATTCCCTGAGAAGTAATTAACCATTAAACTTTATTTTACTAATTCAGAAGTCTGACAATTCTTGAAAACCAGTTTCAGAATTCCTGGCATGGCCAACATGTTTTTCATTTTAGATACTGTACTAGAAAAGTTTTCATAATCCTAAAATACTGCATATGATCTTTGTGTCATCTTAATTTTGGGGGAAGGGAAGTAGAGTAAAAAACCTAAGTCCAAAACCTGTCTTAAGCAAAAGCAGTTCTTGCCCCCTGACTAGAGTAATCTTTGAGACTCATGGAAATATGAAAAAAATGTGTTATTGGGGAATGCTTTCTTTCCCACAGAGAGCTTTCATGGATTCAGATACCCAATTCATAAGATGACATACAATCACTATCAGACACAATGTAAGGTTTTTCTATATATGAAGTTATAAATCCTTTATTAGGTAAAGGGAGGATTGAAATCAGGGTTGTTCAATATCATGTAATTGAATTGGTGTGTAACTGGTAGCCAGTGTGCTCTGACCCTACTCCTGCGGAGCCCCCTGTTATCCCATGCTGCTGCCGAGGCAGCAGCACAAAGTGGCAGATGGGAGCTGGTCTGCAAGGGGAACCAGTTTAAAAACCAGCTTCCCACGCAAACAAGCCACCTGCCATCCTGCGCTGCTGCCTCTGATACTGAGGCCGCAGTGCAGGGTGGGAGCAGAACCTGTTCACAGGGTTCCGAGTGCCCCAAAGACCACCTGCATTCAGGGGCTGCTGCTGCGAAGCAACCTCCGTCCGTAGACAGAGGCTGCTTCGCAGCAACTTCTCCTTCTCCACCACGCTGCAGCGTCTGATAGTGCCTCTGTAGGAGGTGGGGGGGATGGCACGCAGGTCCATGGGAGCTGATATGTGCAGGGAGCTGGCTTGAAAGCTCTCTGAGAGAGGCAGCGGTGAGGGGAGGCAGATCCAGTGCTCACAAGGAGCCTGCTTAAAGCCAGCTCCTCACGGGCACCGGCTTCCACTGCCCCCCCACCCAAACTTGCTGCCTCTGATACAGAGGTAGCAGTGGGGGGAGTGCGTGTAGTCAATAGGATTAACCAATAAGCCTAGGCATTTTCTCGACTCTGCACTAACTTCCCTAATTGAAATACTTTAGTGAATTCAGCAATAAAGAAATAGCTGGACCATTCGCATTAGATGTCAGGCATGCCCAGTGTGGTGGTGGTTTGATTTACTACTTATATTGCAGTAGTGCCTCAATCAAGATTCAAGATCCATCTGTGCTAGATAGGGATTGGCTTTAGTTACTATCTATAGCTTATGGTCCTGTCAGCAAGTCCTAAGTCTATTACTTTACCTTTTGGCCTATGACTTCTGCTTATTATGTTAAACATGCTTTTTATGTTAAACAAGATTTACTGTACTTCCCTCTTCACCCATAGCAGTATGTTGTGTATCTGTTGGCCCCAGCCACATGCAAAGGGTTTGTCTATAGGAATATTGAGTTTGAAGCAAAGTGTAGTGTGAATTGGGAATGTTCAAATGCGTGTAATTGTGGAAACATGGAACTGCTGAAAAATTCAGCAGTTACAAACACCCACAGTCGGGGAGCCAGCTATAGCCTCACACTGCTGCCTCTTTTAATCCGGTTCCTGGCACACACCAGCTCCTGCCTTTAGCCCCACTCCCTGAGGGCGGCAGCCATCTCTCCCAGAGCTCCGCGGGAGTCTGCATGTTAATGTGAACATTAACTGGTAAGCCCAGGCTTATCAGTAACCATTCACACAGTTATATGTTCCCATCCCTAGAATGAATCTACCCTGCACTAGCCTACTGTGATCTAGACATTGTGTGCTCCATGCTGATGAACACGTTTCATTAATGTGCTTTGATCTAGTGCTGTTTCAAATAACTAAGCTCTAGTCCTGTCTTAGGTAAGAAGTAGACGTCCATGTACCTGCAGAAACATAAGCACCTTTTACAGCAAAAATATAGGCTCCAAGTAAGATTGGACACCTACTTCGTTAAATAGCCACTTAGCAAGAGTTTTGTGGATTGCAGTGGTGCCTAAATCTGCAATTTTGCCACATGAATAACTTTGTTGACCTTGGGCTAGGTCAGCAGATCTTGACTAGTTTCTGCTTCCTGTAGAAGAAGCATTTCCTTTACAATCAGAGGCTATGTCTACATAGCTTCCCTCTTCTGCAAAAGATGCAAATGAAGTGTGGATTAGCATATCGCCACACTTCATTTGCATAATTAATTAGGAGCCATTTTTGCACAAGAGGTTTTTGCACAAAAAGGCGCCATCTACACAGTGCCTTTTTCCGCAAAACCCCCCTCTTGTGCAAGAGCCATACTTCTGAAAACATGAGGAAGAATGGCTCTTGCATAAGAGGGGGGTTTTGTGCAAAAAGGAGCTGTGTAGATGGTGTCTTTTTGTGCAAAAACCCCCTCTTGTGCAAAAAGGCTCCTAATTATGCAAATGAAGTGTGGAAATATGCTAATCTGTGCTTCATTTGCATAGGCTTTTGCAGAAGAGGGAAGCTGTATAGACATAGACATAATGGGGGGGTGGGGAATAGGAGGAATAAACACCAGAAGCTTAGCAAGATAATACAGAAAGAATCCCTGTTTCTTATAAATCTAAAGAATCTGTTACCTATAAATTTCACTGTATGCTTTTGAGTTTTCAAAGAAAAAAGTTAGTCACTAATCATTGTAATTTTTTTTCCAGTTCCAAAATGGTTTCAGTGGAATAAACGTAAATGAAGCATATCCCTCTCAGTTAGATGTCATCAGTAACACACAGACTGCCACAAACCTTCAACCTCTTCATCATCCAACAGAATCCCGACCTTTCTCAGATTTGGCATCCGGTGGATTTATGTAATTCACAGCCAATATCCCATCTGTGGTTTTTGATGGATGTCACTTTGGCCTGTGAAGGAGAATTTGATAAGGCTATGAACGCTAGGACTTAAAGGCCTAAATACATTTTAAGAAGTTGAGGCAGGTTGCACTATATACCAATATGACATGTAATCCAATACCTGACTTTTGAGGTGGGACTAGAAAGTATACTTTGACTAAAAGTGTGCATGCGCTGTTGACAGTCAGATTGAAAATGTGTTGTTGCTGCAATTGGGATTATGTACTACATACATCACATTGTAGAACATAAGATAAGGCAAATGATTTTATTAATTTAGAAAATAAATGGGCACTTTGACAACCTTACTTGTAATGGCACAGAGGAAGATGTTTTCATGCTTGGTTTATTTTCACATTTTATTTTTAACAAATTAAAATGTAAAAAGGATTATCTTAATTTAAGAGCATCAAAAGCACTTGATTTTACTGCATACTTGGTTCTTTCCTTCAATTACTTATTATTTTAGCTCCTTTTCGGTTTAGATTTCCAATTCTAGCACTTTAATAGATGGATTAAAACAAGATTTGATACACAATTTTAGGTTTTATATAAACAAATGCATTGTGTTCCTTTTACTGTCAATCTTAAGTGCCTCACAATTTAGCTACCTTATTTCAGAAAGGAAGCTTGTTTTGGAAAACATTCTCCAGAAATTAGTCATCAATATTGTTTGAATTATTAACATATATGGTCCTATTGGTTTTCTCCTATACATTTTTAGCAGTTTTGTCTTAATTCTGAGTCTGCTTAGTTGCAACACTTATCTGAAAATGTAAATGTTTTAAATTTAGTTCAAGTAATGATTTTGTTATTCTGTTCTACAGTTCTGATTTCTTCAGGTTAAACAGGGTAAAAACAAAATTATATTTTGCAGGGAGAGGTTGATTCCTCAAGATTAGTTTTAGATTTTCAGTGCTAAAAAACATGTGCCTTATCTTGTGTTAAAACACTTGTAAAGTTCTTTAGAATTAAAAGTACAAGGCTATTCTATGCAAAAATTTTCACCAATATGGATATTGAAAAGGATTAACTTTTAAAATTATTGGGGAAGAGTTCTCTCAATAGTACATAATATTGAGGTTTACTTTTTATAAAAATTGCTTTGCTGATAGTCAAAGTTTGGTTGTAGTTTTTAACATTGCAGTGGGGGGAGGGCGGGTTAAATATTATTCCTGATAAATTGCACTCTAAAGGAAAATAATCTATCTTTTTATGTTTGTGAACCCACTTGAAAAAAATCTATGTGCAAAATATTGAAAAAAGGAGTTCAGTTTCAGAGAGATTATCCTGGATAAGGATTTTTGTATTTTTTTTTTCACAAAAGCTAAAAATATTGCTTTGGTTTGGTTTGGTTTTTTTATTCGAGAGGATTGTTAGCATTGTAGACACCAGTGTTTGGTCACAAATAGCATAATTTAGAAATACAAAAACATATATGTTCAAATGATTGCATACTTTTGTGTGCTGTATAGTTCATATGTAATAAAATGTCTTTGTAAAATATTTTAAACCAGTTAATTTTAATGTTACAACATATATATAAAGAAGAAATGTTTACATTTGTTATGTGTAATATAAATTACAAGTGTAGACAGTTTGTTTAAAACGAAAAAAATAAACCACCTTCTACCTAGCTGGTGTTCATATTGTTTAATCCAAGGACAATTGGAGGAGTTTTTTTTAACTTGAGAAGAAAGAACTTTACAAAATCATTGAAAATGTGATGGAGGTTTCATTCCACCATTTGTGCAATCTGCACCAAAATAACTACAAAGCTAAATACTGTGCTTTAGATTTTTCACCCCAATTCTTTGATTTCCTCTTTGAAATACACTCTGAATTATTAAAAACTATTTCCTTCTATAGTGTAATATGATCTGCTGGATACAGTATCACAGTCAGTTGTGGAATTTCAGATGCATGACTTTACCAGTTCATTTAAATGAAGATACCAAGGGAGAAATGCATGTCAGGGAAATAACTTAAAATTAATAATACTATGAATTTTTCAGAAAAAGCCCTAAAAAGAAATTGTTGTTTGGGACATGAAATTAGATTCTTAAATGTTTCACACTGAAAACAAAAAGTGTTAATTTAATAGCTTCAGGGGGTAGCTGAGTTAGTCTGTACAGGATAAACTTAAAAAACAGCAAATGGTCTAGTAGCAGTTTAGAGACTAATAAAACATGTAGATGGTATCATGAGCTTTTGTGGGCACAGCCCATTTCTTCAGATGATCAGACCATTTGTTGTTTAATTTAATAGCATCTAGATTCATTTCACATTTTAACATTTAGTATTTTAAGATAAGTTTTAACCAATTTTTAGAACATCTTGCATTTCCAGTTAGTATATCACTTTTAAGAGTGTGAATTTGACAATCTGTTATATAAATACTGTATAACTGAAAGATTCAAAGGGATAATGTACATTTTTACATAAGTATAAATAAAAATGTGTATGTTCAGTCTAGCTAAACCAAAAACATGACCTACCACTAAGTGCCAGTGAAGCAGCAGTGCAAGTGTACTGCCTTATTACACGCATTAGTTTTGTTATATATATAATATCAATTTATTTTCTATAGCTATGTCTACAACAAAACTGTGATTATTACTGGATGTTTGTGAGCTATTAATCTACACCAAATTACATCAAAAGTGCACAGGACTTTTTGAAATTCTTTGTAAGCCTTCCAGTTCTGTTATGAGTAAGATATAGCCCATTGTTAATCAGTATTACTATCCAATTTTTGTACCAGTTTTCTTGGCTTGTTTTGCTTTAAGTTCCTATTTCTGATTTGCTATGCCTGCACATGTTATGCAATACATTTCTTGGGTTAGGGTATGTTTTTTGTAATGTTCTTACTGACCTTCAGTAAAGTTTGTAAACATAATATATGGTAATAAAATAATTTGAATGTAGCTGATTTGTATCTTCTTTAACTACAAACAGTTCTTTGTCTATCACAGAAGCTTTGTGATTACACCACTGTAGACTTTGGAATATCCAAAGTATTAGACAAGAGCACATGTAGACAATTTGGGGCTGCATATAAAAACATACATTTCTATCAAAATGACACAAGACAGACAAAATGGTAAATGGTAGCTTATAAGCATTCTGGCTAGCCAGTAACAGTTAACAATTGAGTTGAAGTAGGTACTACTTACTAACCAGATAGTCTGATAACAGAAAACCTGTTTGATAGGCCCAAAATTTGATTTTACACTTTTGCATTAATTTCGCTTTATAGGGCTCCATTTTCTGAATGACAAATTGATACCCTCACTTCTTTAAAACATTTACTCTGAGAGCAAAAAATTAATATATACAAACTGACCAACAGTAATTTTAGAGTAAGAAATATGCACATAGTAGGAAAGAGAATAATTAGAAAACAGTTGCCTTTAAAGAGATGATGATAAATCAAGTTGATAATCTTCTAGTAAATGTAAACCAAAGAAGCTTGATCTTATGCTTTTTTTAAAAAAAAGTTTGCTATCAAAAGAAAAATGTATTTATTCTCCTTGAATGTGGTGAGTTAGAGCTGGCATGACTAACTCGAGTTTTCCATTGTGAGTCATATATTCATCCCTGTTTCCTTTCAGAAAAAAGCACTTCCCTTTTCTATACATAGAGAAAGGCTTAAGTGATACTTAAGTGTACTTTCCCTCTTTTGCTCTTCAGTGCATGAATACTGCCCTTATCATTAAAGGGAGTTATCAGTACATATTAGGGCTCTCAATCAGTTAACTCATGCAATTAACACAGATCAATCACAGTTTTAATCACACTGCTGAACAGTAGACTACCAATTGAAATGTATTAAGTATTTTGGATTTTTTCTACATTTTAAAATAATACAGATTTCAATTACAGCACGAATACAGTGTACAGAGATCACTATATATTTGCATTGTAAAAATGTTCAATGGTATTTTTCAATTCACCTCATACAAGATTTGTAGTACAATCTATTATCATGAAAGTACAACTTATAAATGTACCATTTTTGTTGCATAACTGCATTCAGAACAAAACCGTGTAAAACTGTTGTCCTTAAAGGTCCACTCAGTCCTACTTCTTGTTCAGCCAATTAAGATAAATAAGTTTGTTTACATTTATAGGAAATAATGCTGCCTGCTTCTTATTTACAATGTCACATGAAAGTGAACACAGGCACTCACATAACACTTTTGTAGCTGGCATTGCAAGGTATTTATATGCCAGATATGCTAAACAGTCATATGCCTCTTCATGTTTTGGCCTCCATTCCAAAGGATATACTTCCATGCTGATGATGCTAATTAAAACAATAACAGAGCTCCTTGGGGAAGAATTGAGTGTTTCTTGCTGTTTTATCAGTATTCTGCTTTATATTTCATGTTACAACAGTCTTGGATGAAGATACATACTCATTTTAAAATACACTTTCACTGCAGATTTGTCAAAATGCAAAGAAAGAGCCAATGTGAAATTTCTAAGGATAACTACAGCACTTATCCAAGGTTTAAGAATCGAAAGTGCCTTCCAAAATCTGACAAGAATGAAGTGAAATGCATATTTTCTGAAGTCTTAAAAGCATAACACTCTGATGCAGAAACTAGAGAACTGAAACCACTAAAAAGGAGTATCAACCTTTTGCTGATGACTACTGACTCAGTTGATTAAAATGAACATGCATTAGTTCGCTTTGCTTTGATCATTAGCTAGTACTGCAAACCCTTGTCACAAAAATTTCAAATCTCACAAGCCACCTCCTAAAAATGAATATTTCCAGGGATTTTGTCCTTTACCTGAGCATAAATTATAAATGTAGTCCTCTTAGAAATGCAAAAATTGTTTTGACTCACTTATTACGCATGATTTATTATACAGTATTAATTGTATTACATTATGAAACAGCAAAACTCTTCCATGATTTCACTTTCATAACTTGTTACAAGACAAGGCTCTTATATTTCATCAAGGAGTATCAGACATGAAACAGTGTGAAGGTATTTGAGAAGACAACTCAGAGTTCACAAGCATTTGGAGCTTGAGCAGTTCAGACAAATACCATGCATGATTACAACAAACTTACACGTGTTCATAATTTTAAAAACAACAGCAGCAGCCTATTTAATATTAAAAAATTAAAAATATCCACTTCCCTTTCCATTTTTCAAGATCTTGAAATGTGTATCTCAGGTCTAGATCTTTCGACAGAGGGATGTAAATTAGGCACTTCGAAATTGCAAATGAAGCCAGGATTTGAATTTCCTGTGCTTCGTGTGCATAATCGTGACATAGTACTCTTTCGAAAAAGCGCTATTTCAAAAGTAAAACCTTCGTCTAGACACAGTTCTTTTGAAAATAGAAGCCTTTTTCGAAAGATCCTGTAAACCTCAAAAAATGAGGTTTATTCCATCTTTGTACGCTCTTTTTTTCAGTTGTTCATTATTCTCACTGTAAGAACCTGAACTCAGTAGCAGACAATATATATATATATATATATATATATATAGTAGTACTTCATAAAATGTGACCAAGTCAGTTCTCAATCTTTTTTCTGTATTAAAAACAAATAGATGGTGCTTTTGAGTCTTTTCCTGTGAGGTAGCTTTATAAAGCTCCAGTCATTCTTATCTCTCTTTTCTGAATACTTTCCAATTTAACATCCTTTTTAAAGTGTAAACACAACTGGATACTGTATTACAGTCTTGCTCTCAGTGGTAATAATACCTTCCTACTTCTGCATGGGATTTTTTTTATATGCAAGGATTGCATGTGCTTTCATGTTGCATTAATGTACAGCTATTCATTAATGTACAGCTATTTATTAGCTATGCCCCTCAAGGCCTGATGTCTTGACATCTAGAATAGAAACTCCCTTCCTATAAAGTGTGATTTCACATGTTCAAGTAAGTAAGTTCTTCAGCTTACCACATCACTCTCCAGAACTGCCTTCGCCTTATGATTATTTTCCACCACCCCTGCTTCATCAGCAATACTTTGATATATTCTTCCAGACCATTGATAGACATATTGAATACCTTTCAGTCAAGATCAGATCACTGTAGAGACCACACTAAAAACACCTTCATGATATGAAGATTCCCTTTTGATGATTTGGAATGTATCAGCTAGACACCTTTTAATCCACTTACTATGTATTGATTTTGTAGCATGGAAAGTCAAATGTTTTACAGAAGTCTATTATGCTAATGCACTTTGTCAATCAAACTTGTAATCTCAAACCAAGAAATCCATATGAGCTTCAGAAAACCTATTTTCCATTAAATGACAAGAGGCACCAAGTGTCCTACCATCCTTTAATTCTTTACTGACTGTGTGCATGTTAGGCTTGCCATGGGTTTCTCAACTATCCATGTGACGCTAATCAGCCTACCACCTGAGTCATCCCATTTATTCGTTGTTCATAACACTGCAAGAAGACACTCAAGGAGCTAGAATGTGCTTTAAATAGGTAATAACTGGGAGCTGTTTGGCAATTTGCCCAGTACTGGTCATTTTCCCTATTCTCAGCTAGACCCCTTGGTGGTGGGTCTCTCTCCATCTCTTCTGCTTTATAGAAAATAGTTAAATATTCACTCCAGTGTAGACTGAAGCTGGGTCTCCCATGAGAGTGCACTGGTCACTCAGCTATGAAGTTACTCATTCTTTCTCCCCACCCAATTCATAGTTAAGTGTTTTACAGAAAGTGGAATAGGTTCAGGAGGTGAGATTTGAGAACGATCCATCCCAGCTGAGGCTGTCCATTTGTTAGGGCACTGGATTGTGGGGGGGTAAGTTCAAGTCCCTGCTCCGAAAAGGCAGCAATTTCAACTTGACTCCCCCTATCCCAGGTGAGTGGCGGAGCTACTGAGCTGTTAGATACATGTAGCAAAATTCCCAATCTCTTCTTTACTGGGTGTTTTGGGGGGCGGGGGAGTTGAGCCTGTCTGCAAGCTTGGAACATGCCTATAGGATCAGGGCTCACAGGCAAGACAGGCAGCAGAATACCTAGTTTGAGGAGCCCAACGGGGGGGGCAGAGAGGGTGTTAGGGATTCAAGCAGCTTGTGGCAGTGCTGGAATAGAGGGAGCTTTGCACATGCCTGCTGACAGATTTTTTCCAGCATCTGCAGAGTTAGCAGCTAAGCAGGAGTTTTGCAAATGTCAGGCATGCCTAAATTTAGACTTAGGCAGCTGAAGAGGTACTTGGGCACTTAAGTACCTATGTAACTCTAACACATTAGTGCCATTTAATCGGGGCAGCTATACTCTTTGTATGCATTTGGATGTCATCATTGATAGGTATATAACTGGTTGGGATCCTATTCCAAGTGTGCTGTGGATATAATCACTCCAGTTAAGAACAAGTGTGATCCACGTTCTCCAGGGACAACTTGGCAATACAGGACCAGAATTTATTTTTTTTTTCAATGGGAAGAATGAATGACCTGACACAAGCAGACTTGACACTAGACCAATCTTCCCATGCTCTGGTAGAACTATGACTCACTTTACCAGCCCTTCAGTGGGCTGCTTTTTTGGGGATGGGGGGCGGCATACTGAGTGTTAGTGTCAGAGCTCTCTCTCTTCCCAAGTATAGCTCCACAACACACTTTCCTGGGAGGAATTTGGGGATTCGAACCATGTCTCTGACATCTTGGTCCAGTGGACTGGAGTAGAATGGTGGCTCCTTGCTTTTTGTGACATAGAGCTTCAGCACCTAACCCAGTAGAAGCCTCACATGTGTGACTGCCAGGCAAAGAGAGGTACCTCCTTCTTCCCAGGATTTCAGTGCCTATGTTCCTTGGAAGGGTGGGGCTAAGATCAGACACCCCTCTTCTGCATTTCCTATTGAGTAGCATAAGTGACCCCCCGCTCATCATGCTGACTTCTGTAGCCCCCATTCTTAGGCTCCAACCTCTCCCA